CTCAGACACTAGAACTAAGTCTCTGACATAACATCGAAGAAAGTCAACGCTTTCATTTTGTCAGCGTTTCGTTTCGGCCGGCCAAACGCGTCACATATGGAGTCTTGCACAAGATAAACCACTTCACTTCGAGTCATCAGATATATAATCTTCTGACTATGTTGTTTTCGTATCATTGCGCTTGGTGTGGACTGCTAAGAGCTGCATCTCTTTTTAGCGAGGGTGTCATCACCCTCGCTGGCATAGTCAATAGCGATGCTTAATATACCAGCATCGTCGTCCTCGTCTGGTTCAGCGATAGTGTCGTCACTGATACTAATGTTATCGTCTTCGATGTCGAATTGATCGACATCGGCAACGTTCGCGTCGTTGTGTATTTGGCATGCGATAAGAAGAGCCATAAAATTTATTGCTCGAGCGTATCTACCTCCCTCAAAACAAAGTGATACTATAAATGGGTGGGTAGACGTTGATGGCGTAGTCCATGTACGAAGAATGGTGTTTGCGTTGCTGACGCATGCAGAAGGATCTTGATGGCAACCTCCACCACCGAAAAATCTCGCTCCAATCTGTGAAGGATTGAATGTATCCTCGAAGCGTCTCTTCAAAGATGCAGTGGACGCGTTCTGTCTGACGATCTGTCTTGGAATGGTCAGAAGTTGACAAAGTCAGACGTGTTTCGAGGGATCGGAACGCGAATTGCCAATACACCACCGTACATCAACGGTCTCTATCAGAGACTATCAGTGAGGCAGTCCGTAAGTTAAATTATCGCGTCAACGAAGACAAGTGCACAGCCCAGTGCTGTGATTGACTCCCGAATAGCAATAAGATGTACCATCTTGCTCAACCGATCAACAAGCACATGAATACCACTATTCTTGTGAACGTATTTGGGAAACCCAAGACGAAGTCCATCGATACGGACTGGTAACACTCTGCCGGAATCGGAAGAGGCTGCAAGGGTGTGCGGGGTGAAGGACAAGGCTTCACCCGTTACAAAACTTCGCAAGCGCGAATGTATTTGCGCACAAACGCATGCTAGCGAGGCCAGTAAAAGTCACGACTTACCGTGCGATAATTTTTTCTTTACCGCGATGTCCACTTGTTAGGGCATCGTGAGACTCGTACATAATGCGCAGCCGCAAATCGTTATAAGTTGGAACAATGACACGAGGTGTGTCACCGCTGACTGCTGTATAGTACAGCAGTCCACCACGAACCAAATACCGTTCGGTTGAAGAGCGGTATTGAATCGTCAAGATTTGAAAAGCTTGACGGCATAGATTAGATATGTAATCTATTTACCGCAAATGAGCCTCACCTTCTGCGTATGCTTTACGCACATCGTCGAGCAGACTCGACGACGGAACACTAGTGGATAGTATTGCAACAGTGGTGTCAACCCCACTGTTGGACTGCGCAGCCGAATCAAAGTTGGGTCGGCGCGATGAAGCGCTAGCGACGACATTAAGTCATCCTGGATTATACCTGAAGGAGATGCTGTGCTCCTCGAAGAAAGACAGAGCCACCTTGATAATCGTTGCAAGAAGTGTGGACTGTTTACGGCCGTGCGTAACGACGCACGGTCGGTATAAACTACAAATAGCCTACTCCAAATAGATATAAGCAAATTTTTGATAGTGCGTACTTCACGGCAAGGAGTCGCTTGTAATGCACGGAATCATTACGCTTAGCTGCTTGTAGCTGACGCGATTGATAGCGGATGACGCTCTCAGCACCGTCTGAGTCGTACTGCATTAGCGCGAAGCCGATTGCAAAATCGCTGGCGTCACAGACCACGTGGAATGGTCAGTATTGATACGCGATCGCCAACACAGGCGATTGTATCATACTTTTCTTGACATCTTCGGAGGAGTGCTTGCGCTCAGCACTCCATGACCACCTCTCGTTTTTTCTTAGCAAGCGAGAGAGATGTAAGGCCATCTCAACGTAGTTGCGCCAGTACTTGTGCAAGTACGCCGCTAAGCTAAAAAGCTCTCGAAGTCTCTTGACGTCGACAGGCACAGCCCAGTCGCTAATCGCCTTGTTCTTTTCTGGAGCAGGGCGTACGTCATACTTACCCACGATGCAGCCAAGAAGTGGTATTTCGCTCGCTACAATTATACACTTCTTGATGTTGGCTAATAACTTTTGCTCACGCATAAGTGTTAGAGCCTTTCGGACGTGGATATATGAACCTCCACGTCCGTCTGTCCATCCATAGCCCGGCTATGGACGAAGTCATCGTCATAGTTTCGTGGTGCGAAATCTCACACCGGTCTCAACAGATTTGTCATTTATTTGTTGAACCTTTTACGGGCGTTATTTAGCCTCTGTGGCATCACTATCCACTCCCAGAGCATACCACAGGGGGTGATCACTACTGTGTTCGGGATTTTCTGTTCACGCATGGGAATCTGATAGAATCCGTTTATCGGACACATGAGCGAGAAGATGGTACTTTTTACCTACCATCTGTGATTCCGTCCTTCCTCGGTATCCGCGTCTGAGCTGATACCGTTGCAGCATTCAAACTTGTCTAATGCGTGCCCTATCCGCCATCCTCATGTGGCCTCATTCACACCGAACGTCGGAGAGCTATGAGAGGAAGTTTATTCCCTCACATGACATGCTGCAAAGCGATCGGCTAGGAAATTGTCGATCGCTAGTACTTGTTCACGAGGCAGTGGTCACTGCTACATGACCCAGTACTTCAAGCCTAATTTGAGCTTGATTCACGTCAAGTGCCTTTGCTCTTAGGCAATTCGCATGGTAACGATTCAGGGAACGCGTCCTTTTTCGATCAAATCCTTGTAAAAAGGATTTTTCTTCAAAGACTCGTAAGATGAAGACACGTACCGCTCAATCTCGGTCTTATCATCGAGGACTTTCGTCCATCGATGGGCTACTGAGAACTTGTTCGCTCTCACTAAACACTTGCGCCGACCGAATGTCTGTCACATACTCATGCTCTGTGAAGCGTATGCAGATCTGCTTGACTTTGTCGCTACGCAGAACTCGAAAAAAAACTTTTATTTTCCAGCCATGGCAACTTGAGTATCTCCGAATTCGACTCTGTAGGTGTAAAAAATCGAGTGTATGAGCACCTACACTTGATCTGTCATTCACCAAGACTATCACTGTCTCCGTGCTTACCTGGGTAGACACATCCGCAGGTGGTTGGGGGAAAAAGGACCCTCAATATAATTTTCTCGGGACGAATCTATTATTCTTAGGAACTCTGGAGCTTTATTCTAATACGTGTTCTGACTATGGGTGCACTACCGCAGTCACGTCCTCTTCTACCAACCCTCTTTTAATCGATCGTGTTTTTATTACACTTGACTCTCTGTTAGCCGATCTCGCTGTAGCGTCGTGTTCATTCTAAACAATACTCATCTCTCTCCTTGGATGCATCCTGCTAGTGTGCATCCATGTTCCAATCTACTCGATTTCTTCCGATGGTGAACTTTCGACACAGTTTGTGTCTCTACACAGGTGCCCGAAGCTGGTTCCACATTGTAGTGGCCTTCTACACTGTGATCTTGTGTAGCCGTAGTAACGACCGTACCACAAATGAGGCCATCGCACTCATTCGTATTACATCCAAAGCTTGTGGACGCTCCAAGACATTCATCAGCTGGTCATCTAATGAACAAACGACAGGCACCTTCACGGATCGATACTTCCAGCGGATCCACGGCTCGTATCTTCTGAGCCGTGGCAGACCGAGGATGACATCAATTTGTCATCCAGATCCAATACGATGAATTCATCGTCTTACTTCAAACCTTCTAGCCTGTAGTGAGGTCCTACTACACGTTCTTCACTGTTACGGATACGCCTGTTGCAAGGCACAGTCATCCCCGTTATAAAATAATCTCGCTCAGCATAGATAATTTTACTATCCTTTAGCGACTGAAACCGACTAAAACTGTTCGACGCCCCACAGTCAACTAAGGCGCGAATTGACATTCCACTTGTCACTTCTATCTTCAAAGTGATGAGGGACGCCTCATCATTAGGGCAGTAACACACATACATCGTGTGTTGGGAGCAATCTTCGTCAAACGTCCTGCAAATTCTCTTGATGTTGCTGAATCAGTAGGGTGCTCAGCCCCTACTGACCCTGACTATTTTTTTGGCGGTCTGACTTTCCGCCGCGGTTTAGCGACATGTTCGGACCCGCGCCTTGGACCTTTCCTAGGCAAACGTCGGTCATCAATTCCTGCCTTTGGACGTGATGCAGTGCTTGGGACGCTACACTCATGGGCGTAGTGTCCAATCTAATGACAGCGATGGCATCTTTCCGTTCGCTTGTGGCTCGGAGAGCAAGAGTTATAGCTTTTAAGATAACCAAAGTCCATAGGTTCGGTACCTCCGGTATCCTGTCGTCTCGTCGGACGATACTTTGATGAGTTAGCCTGAGACGGTCTTAGGCTAAAGTCTTCTTGTTTTGCATACGCTATCGCCTTTCCAGCGTATGGAAGTCCTCTTGGAACATGTAGATCTGAACCGGTCCATCTACAAGACCGTAAATGAACGCGTTGATGAGCGTGTGCTCACCAACAGGGTTTTCTGTGACGCTACTCGCAAGTTAGCGTAGGTGTTGTGCATAAGCGTGCACATCACGCTTACCTTGCTTGAGCCTTAGGAGGCAGGAGCGTACTCTGAACTCGGCTCTTGGCGGCCCAAACGTCTCTTTGAGTAGAGACTATAAGGTATCTAACGACTCAAACACGTTAAAGTCGAGAATCTTGAGCCCTAAGGCCTAAGTCTTTACTTGTCCTGTCAAGTTTGATAGGACGAAGAGGACTTGCATCTCGTCACCCTCGATGTGACGTGCCCTTATGAAATCGTCAAACTCGACGAACCATCTCAAACGGGATTCTTTATCGGTTCCCTTGTACCTTGAATATCTATCTTCAAGGTTTCGGGCCAACGCGTGTGCGTCGGCCCGTCAAACGATTGATGAGAGCCTTGCTGGTAGAGCAAGGCTATCTTCTGTCTTTCGACAGCAATTTCCCTTGTAGGAACTTGTCGATAGCAGCATGTTGTTGGTCTATAATAAGAGACTCCAGCATGTCGCTAATGGCGGGTTCACCCATGAGCTCACTCATGGTGCCGACTATCTCCCATTCAAAGTCACTCAGATAGGAGTAGCCTTCACGCGTGACGTGAACGCCGTCGTCTTCTACGTCCAACATGCTCGTGTTGGACGGACAATAAGTAGTCGTTGGACGGATTACGAAGTGCTACCAGGTGTAACGGGCACCCTTTGTTTGGAGTGCCACGAAACTGCACGTACGAGTGTACGTGCAGAGGCATCTAATCTACTCAAACAGCTAGTTTGAGTAAAGGTAAAAAGAGAACTGTATTTAATACAGTTATGCTATCAACATAACTTCTATCTTTATCTAACCGTCTTAGTCTACATTTTCGTATGACGAAAACCTTCTCACCACTCACTACTCGCGTCTAGCAGCGATTGATGGTAACCTTTGTTGATATGTCTGTTATCAACCAATCTCCGAGCAGCACGTGCATATTATCCTAAGGGATAATCTTCCTTCAATATTACCTATCTCGTGTAACATTGTAACATTGTCATACTGGACAATCTTCTTATTGACACCGTTTAGTGTCGATATCCTGTAACGGGCTACCCCTTAACATTTACAGCGTCAACAAAAGCGACGACATTTCTAACACACACAATCCATCGTGGATTCAGTTTCACGACACCCAACGCATACCCTCTCTATTTAGCTCCTCCTAGAACGTATAAATAAGCATGAGAGCGGAGGCTGAAGCAAGACAAGCGCGAGACGGGAGCGAGTTTCCATTGTTGCAAGCCCGAAGGGTGAAGCTATTAGTGAGTGTGCACAAGATTGCATGCCGAACTTCTGAGTCGTACTTATCTGTGTGTCTGTCTATAAACAACGCGGTTAGGTGTACCTTACACGTACAAAGTGCGATACAGAATGTTCCCTTCTCAAAGATATACAGACATCTTTGATATCACCCTTTGAGTAAGTCGCTATTATAATGCACGCTAGGGATTGGCCTAAAATCGATTCAAGGTGAATCATAGTAGCAAATGCTGGACGCTGATTCGGAAAGACCGATCGCGTTGGCCACGTAGGCTGCACTAGTATAATACAGACGTTTACAGCATTATGCTCATTCTTCCGTGACTGCTGCTGTATAGTGTTTTGCAACTTGGTTCAATTCTATGAACTGGATCACTCATATCGAAGGGCGGGCGAGCTCTGGAGCTTGCTCCCCTATCTTATCATTAGCATTAGATTGCGCATAGCAGACTAATATGACAAATCCTATTTCTCATTGGCCAACACAAATTGCCGGTACAACGACCCACTCGCGACCGGGACGTTGAGCATTTGCCTTATCTTGGTCCGACCTCTCGAAAGACCTGTGTCGATGCATCATTATCTTCTGGAGCTCTGTGCGTGCTGTTGAGCTTTCAGTTCGAAGTCGTCCGATACTATCAGTTGGTATCGATGAAACCCTGGCCGTCAATCACGTGCACAGCTACAAGTGTCTCAAGGCAATCGATTCAGCGAACGAACGACGCGATTTCGGAAGACCCGAAGTCGATACGCTCACCTCCAAAGAACAAACGACGCGAAGCTGTTGCAGTAACAGCCAGGGGACTCTTTTTGTCCAGTGGAGACGGCGATAAGCGCTGTATACGGGGCAATGGACCAAGATGGATGCAAGGTGCTATCGAGCGTGGCTAAAACAATAGAAGAGAGCACAAAGGGAACGTCGGTAGCATCTTCGGTTGTCACCGACACGAGCTCAGTCGGTGGACTAGCTACTGCGGCAAATAATTTTACGCACCATCTGCTCGCGCCGAATTCAGAGCTTCTGTTCTCAGGAGCTCAACGACGAGCCCGAGAGTTTCTACAGCAATGGAAACGAAATCAGAGACCATGTCGATGATAATGGGTTTGTCGGAGAACTGGGACTTCTAGTATTGGAAGTGCTCATGTGGTGGAACGAAGAAGATCTGATTGTGCCAAACAAGCCACTTAAGAACTGTTTGCCATATCGCGTACCTTCACCGGCTGCTCGTGGTAGGGACAAGGGCATTCGTGCAACGCGGAAGAAAAACGTGAGTTAACAATTACGCAGTAGAAAACGTGATCACTGGCTGTACATTCAGTTGCAGTACTGTGCTGGCCGCAAATTGGCAAACTATCTGGCTGTACATTCAGATGCAGTACCGTGCTGGATGCAACTTGGCGGACTATCTGGCTGCTTTAAGCCGCCCGATAGAGTTGTCGAGAATATTGAAGATCTTTTTGCACATCGCAAGTGCACATGCGCACGTACATTGGTGTGGACTGATTTATCGTGATCTGAATCCAGCGAATATCTTTGTTGCCGACGTGTATAGAGTTGCGATCAAGTTGGTGGATTTCGCTTTATCGCGAGCCGCTGCAAATGCAAGCAGCCTAAACGCCTCGGGAAGTTTTGCTGATCCCCAACAAGGGCATTTTTCCAATGGTGTGCGGGACACTCCTCTGTCTGCTTCGATGCGGTCGAACACGTCGGAGAAACGACGCACTTGCTGGTGTTGGCGCGTATCTTGCGAAAGCCCGGAACAAGTCGCAGGGAAGTACAACACCAAGACCGATGTGTACTCTTTGCGAATAACCCTTTTGAGCTGTGTCACGACCGCTTTGGCACGACAATGGAGCGATACATCACTCTCCGTGATGCCCGAGACAGTAAGTTCCCTACTGACTCCGCGCGTCAAAGAGATGTCCCGAATCCCTGAATGTGCTCAGCAATTTGTTTAGTCACGACCCGAGTGCGCGGCCAACAGCCGATGCTGTCGTTCAGTGGTGGCAAGTTGTAGCGGAGCTACACAGCTCCTTAAGTCAGAGGAAGACTTAACGCTCTACGAGCAACTTAGTTCCAAAGAACTAAGGACTTTACGAGTCAACAAGCTTTACTGCTTCAGATCCCTGTTCCAGGGGGACCTAACGATTCAGTGAATCGACAGCACTCAGTGCTCAAGAGTAGCTACCTCAAGGAGGTGTTGCTAGCTCTTAGTGATCAGTGATCAACGATCAAGACGGCTCGCAAGCCACGTGTCCTTCAGATCAAAATGGGAACTGATTTTATTTTGTTAAAGCCTATAGAATATCTTAATCCTACTCAAAGATCTTTCGTACCTAATGGCTGACACTCGTCAGCCCCTACAAACCAATAAGATATTCGATATCACCTTCACAAAGGGATAACCTCAGGTGTGTAACACCCCTGGTACAACGTACGATAATTTCGTGCAACCCCGTTACACCCTCCCCTACCAGACTGGCGTTTGCCAAAACGTCAATCGAACTTAAGTTCTCAGCGAGAACAGTGCGCGTACGGTGAACCTCACGGTAACGTACGCTCCAGCACGATGTCCTCACCACCTAACGAGTCAAAAGCTCTGTGTGACTACCTCGGGATTGAGGAGGAGGTGGACTACGGTAGCGATACCAGTTTTCGCGGTGATACAGGGACAATGTCCGGCTCACTGATGCCTGAGGCACAACTTTCGAACACCCCAAATCCGTTCGCTGAACGTGGAGGTGCGAGCGCGCCACGAGCGCAGTATGCAGCGTCTGATTCTGATGAGACTATCATCACGAAACCGCTCGATGAGCAACAACAACTGCTTGTTCAAAGAGAAGAAAACGCTCAGCGTCATGTACAAATGGCTACAATCCTTGAACGCCAGCGTGACTATGTGTTCACCCCACCCAGTGTGGAGGAACGTCTACGTCAAGCGGCCGGCCAAACATTGGCAACGTGGGTCATTGGCCATGGGCCTAAGACTCCTGAGGAGGTGGTGAGCTGCCAGGCACTTCGCGAGAGGTACCTGGAGCCGCACCTAACGACTCAAAGTCAATACAAGGCACGCCTTGACATGCAAGCGCGTGGTACACCGGTTCCACCGATCAAGGGTATACCCATTCTCTTGTTCGCAGGCGAAACAGTGAGAGAAGAAGACGATGCTTTTGTTCACTGGGTGCACTATGTGCGTCGCCTCAGCAACATTTTTGCTCTAAGGGATAGTGCCAGTGTGGCTGACGTGCGTCTTGAACGCAAGCTTCGGTATGATTATGTCAAGCTTAAGGCCAGAGGCCAATTGCGCAAGCGCACGCGCTATGCTTCGGCTACTAAGGTAGCCGCGAGTGCTGGTCAGTCTGCGGCCAACAACCCGCCAACCCGCACCACTAGTGGTGGGGAACGGCCTCGGTCTCGAGATGACCATGGCCACGATGCTCAAAAGCCTCCAAAGCATATGGGCAGTCTTGCCGAAGGGGCACCTCAAATTCCCATGAGTTTTCAGACTCAGGGTACCCACGCCACTTTACCAGATACTGGTATTGGCCCTGACGACGACGTCGTTTCAGTAGTCTCTCGACATGAAATTGTCGACACCCATGCTCATCGAGCAAAGTCGGTGACGGCCGGTGCACCGGTGGAGGCCCACGAGAAATTGGTTCTCAAAGTGAAGGGTCTTCAAGAGGCCTTGGGTAAGTCCCAGTGCATGCTGGATGCGATGCAAGCCGCCTTCAGGCGATGGAGCAAGCTCAAACTCGGAGCGAGGCTCAGTTGGACTTGCTGATTCGCCCACAGCAATCCGGGGCAGTGCCCTTGTCGTCGGCGCAAGCGCCTCCAAGTTCACATGGGAAGGATCCCGGTACGGCTTAAGTAAGACAACGTAGAACACTGGATGTGTGCGCAATTTGCGCGGAAGGTTTAGCGTTTACGCAAGTCCCTTCTTGGCCGTGACCGTAAACGGTATAATAAAGCGTGGACGCAACTTCGTCTTAAAGACAGCAGACACTACATTTGTAGGCAGATTTTTAGTATTGAGTAGTACTTGGTCTCCGACCTCATAACGTTCAATACAATTTCTGCCTTTGGCATCAGCTTGTTGTTTTTGGGTATCTTGACTATCAGCCATTGCGTCACGCACATGTCTTAAGACATTTAATCGCGTTGCGAGATACTCGCTTACCTGTTTTTGGACAGTAGCAGGGCTGATATCAGCAAGCCGATCGGCAACCTCTCCCCCACCAAGCCTTGATTCACGTAGTGATAGCGTTAACGGAACGCGAGGTTGGGTGAGACCGTTTATTTAGATCGGAGTAAAGCCTGTTGAGGCATGAAC